GACGCCGCTGCCTCGGTTCTCCGGCCGTGGGACTCCCGCGCTGCCTCTGCCCCCCGCACCTGCCCGGGTGGGCTGGCTCTGTCGCTGAGTCTCGGCTGCCAAGCCTGCAAAGTTTTTAGCTCCGACCTCCACGGCTCCAGTCCACCGGAGTCCCCCAGGCCGCGCCTTGCTTCCCTCTCCTTGTAGCTTCCAGGTTCAGAGGCTACGCGCCCCCGGGCGTGCGCCAGGGACTGCACCCGGTGCCCTGTCGATAGCACCTGTCAACTGGATCCCTGCGAGACTCGCACAACGGAGAACGTGGGGCTGAAGATTCCCGGGACCAGCAGCCCCGAGGGAGACTCCTGGACCATCCTGCAGCTCCTAGATGGGAGGACGGGCCAGCGAGAGCCGGGTGGAGCCAGACTGCTTCCTAGGATCCAGCCACAGTTCCCCAGGCAGCTGCTCAGGGCTGCGGCCGGACGCACCAGCCAGCCATCGTCTGGGTCCGATGAAGTGAGCTAGAGCGGAGATCGTGCGCCTTCGGTGGGTCCTGCGGGACGCCGAGCTTCCACGGGCGAGATGAACACGCTTGAGTTCTGGGGCTGAACACCGCTGCCCCCGCCCGGTTGCGCTCCGGTCCAAAAGGAGAGTTAGATTCCTTCTGTCTTGACTTCATCTCCCTCCACCCCTCCCGGTTCTTTATTTATATGTGCAGTGTTTCTCCTACGATCAGGGCCTAGAGATTTCTAGAGTCTGACAATAAGGCCAGCCCCGAAGTTACAGGAAGTTTAAGGTGTCCGAGGACATGAAAGATGCGCACTGCCTCCCCCCCCCCCCCCCCCCCCCCCCCCCCCCCCCAATTGCATTTCCCTGTGGTTACTTCACTTGCTTCATTGCCAAGGCAAATAGAAAAGGCTTTTTAGCTCATTCAGACTTTGCTTCTCCCCAAATCTACTGATCCTCGGGTCTTCTAATTCTACTGAGAGAGCCTCTTGAAAGGCAGGTGACACAGTGCCCCTTCCCTCTTCCATTGCCCTCGCACCCCTACATATGGAAAGCATGGAAGAGTTACCTGGGCTTTTCCCGCCACGCCTATTCCAACCTCATCTAGCTAACAGGATGCCCTCGCGATGTTACCAGACTCTCTAACCTTTTCGTTTTTCTATTTTTTCTTGCCTTTATAACAAATACTAAAATATTTATTGAGCACCTACTATGTACTAGGCTCTTTGATAGATTCCGGGGATGCAGCTGTAACCAAGGGAAAGAGGGCCCTACCCTAATAAAGCTCATCTTCCAGTGAGTGTGAGTCAGACAATAAACACAGTGTCTAACAGTGAAAAGTCCCATGGAGACATTAAAACAGGCTACCATAACGGTGTCTATGGAGGTAGGGTTAATAGATAAATTACAGGACACCCAATTAAATTTGAATTTCAAATAAACAATGAATATTTTTTTAGTATACATATGTCCCAAATATTGCATGAGACATGCTAAAATGCCATTTGTTGTCTATCTGAAATTCAAATTTAACTTAGTGTTTTGTATTTTTATTTGCTAAATCTGGCAACCCAATAGGAAGGGTTTTGGGGGGTTTTGCTATTTTGTTGTTACTTTTTCTTAACTTATGTATATAGAGAAAGTCTCCCTGAGGACTTAGCTCAGTGCCTCAGACTTTTTCACAGGGGCAAGCTGAAAGTATCACAACCACAAAAAATTACTTGAATATAGAGATACTCTGATAGCCCAAAAGGAAACAGCAAATATCCAGAAGTGTTCTTCTCTTTAACATAGGAAAAGTATTTTGTTATTAGTTTTTCTAGGACAAAGTATGAAGAAGAAAAGTAAAGAAATATAGAATTACTGTAGAAAAGTGAGAAGAAATGAACCACTACTTCTTCCAGAACTCTTTATAAATATGTCAATTTTGTCATATTTATATGATAAGGGCCCATGGACCCATGGAAATAACTCTACACAATTCAACCTTTAGTCTCATACTGATGCATTTAATTGAATTTTATACCTTAATATTTCCACTTTTCTCTTTACCAAATTTTGTCTTGACTATACTATCCCTGAGATTTCAGGTTCTGAAATCTGTGATCCCAAATCACATTTCTCCATCCATGTGAACTCATTTACACAACTTGAGAGCATATTTAACTCTTTCTAAACACCTGAGATGGATTATAAAATGTGAGGCTGTCCTACAAATTGTGCATTATATAAATTTGTACTAGATACGATCTCCGTCATTAAATGTCTTATTGTATTTAAGAGAAGATACTTATAAAAACTCTACAACACAAGGGGAAGCTGAATAGTACAAACTGATCCCTGTGGGGAATAAAGAGGTGTGAAGGTCACTTCTGCCTTGACTAATAAAAGGTTTCTTGTTGGAGGTATCATCTGAGGTAAGACCTATTGCAGGCGACAGAGTACACAAATAAGATAGATGGCCACCTGCAAAGGCAAGCAAAATTCATGGCACATAGCAAGACTTCAATAAATGTTACCTCTTCTATTTATTACAATTTACTACCCATCTTAAACATTGACATAACACCTATTGATTGAATTAATATGAAATTAATATGTGCATCACATATTGAAATAGAGGAAGTTGGGAAGGTGATGGATAATGCAATATCTGAGCAGAAACCCAAAGGAAGTGGGGGAGGCAACAAAGTAGTGAATCTGAAGGAAAGTTTTTCCAAGAAGAGGGAACATTAAATGCAAACGGGCTGAAGCAGGAACTTGCTCAGCTTGAGGAATGATAAGGAAAACAAAGTATATGGAACAGAGAAACAGGATTGGAGAAGAAGATATTGCAGAGATGGCTAAGGAAGCGATCATTGTAGGACTCTGTAGGCAACAGTGAGGACTCTGGACTTGGGTGGGATGGAAAGCCACTGGAGGGCTTTGAGCAGTTTCTTTATAATCTAACTTGCATTTTAAAGTTTCACTCTAGCCTCTATGTTGACAATAAAGTGGAGGAGAGGAATGGGTGGGAACATAGTTTAGACAGCAGCTGTTACTACCTGTGAGGGGCAGTGATGGCTTTGAGTGAGTGGGTAGGTGAGAAGTGGTGAAACTGGTTAAATTCTAGATAGGCAATGTTTTGAAGATAGAACTGGCAGGACTACACGTAGTTAGGACATGGGGTACGCAAGCATGATGCTAAATGGTTCGCCTCCTTTAACATATGTAATTCTCACAGCAACCTCATTTTATAGATAAAGGAACTGGCTTTGAGGCATATTAAGTGATCTTGCAAGGTCACTTCTTGTATAATTAACAGATCCCAGGTCCACAGGATTCCAAAAACACACAGCTTCCTAGTTTTAAAATGCATGAATAAATAGAATAAAATAATTGAAAGAAACTTCAAAGACGCACTGATCTATGTCCTTGCCCTGGGCGAGCAACAAGACTGTTGTGAACAGAACCACGACGTCCACTTGATGAGTTCAAGGACATAAATGCAAGCACGAAAACAACATTTATGGGACTATTTGAGTTAAAGTGCCAACTAAATGGCACTTCAGGCGCCCTCTTCTCAGTGGAGCCTGGCTGCCATCCCAGCTCCCAATACAGGCCAGATGCCTTCAGGACCTCATTTCCTCTCTCTGTCTCTAAAATAGGGATAATAACATCAACTGGGCTGACCACACCCTACATGGACCCAATTACAAGTCAAATGTATTGTTGATAGTTTCTTTTGCTGTGCAAAAGCTTTTTATTTTTATGTAGTCTCATTTGTTTATTTTCTCTTTAGTTTCCATTGCCCTAGGAGCAGTATCAGTGAAGAAATTGCTTCCTCATATGTCTGAGACTTTGCTGCCTGTGGATTCCTCTAGTATTTTTATGGTTTCCCATCTTATGTTTAAGTTGTTTATCCATTTTTAGTTTATTTTTGTGTATGGTGTAAGTTGGTGGTCTAGTTTCATTTTTTTTTTTTTGCATGTATCTGTCCAATTTTCCCAACACCATTTATTGAAGAGACTGTCTTGACTGCATTGTATGTTCATGCCTCCTTTGTCGAATATTAATTGAGCATAGTGGTTTGGGTCGATTTCTGGGTTCTCTATTCTATTCCATGGATCTATATGTCTGTTCTTGTGCCAGTACCAGGCTGCTTTGAGAACAGTGGCTTTGTAATACAGCTTGATATCTGGTATTGAGATCCCACCTACCTTGTTCTTCTTTCTTAGGATTGCTGCAGCTATTCGGGGTCTTTTTTTTTTATTCCAGATGAATTTTTGGAAAGTTTGTTCTAGGTCTGTGAAATATGCCATTGGTATTTTAATGGGGAGTGCATTGAATCTATAGATTGCTTTGGGTAGTATGGACATTTTGATGATGTTGATTGTACCAATCCATGAAAGCCCACTGCATGGGAGAACATATTTGCCAATGTTATCACCAATAAGGGTTTAATCTCCAACATTTACAGG